ATAATGACCGGCAGAAATCCAAGACTTGGGAATGCTGACTGAGGGAATGTAGAAGTACTTTTAAAACTTCAACCTGGAGGCACTTCCTTAGCCAAAGGGTTGTGGGAGTCTGGAACACGTTTCCCAGCCGTGTTGTCGAAACTACTGTCCCCGCTTCTTTCTAGAAATGGCTGGATGAGATCCTCGGTTCAGTGAGCTACTAAAAACCAGATGATCTAGATGGGCCTCCTCTCGATTGCAAACGTTCTTGTCTCTTACTGTATGTGTTGCTGTCCATCTGTTTTTACAATATTTGCAGTCGCTTCATCCCAGAGAGGATCTTGGTGGTCTAGAGCCTATCCTGACAGATCTGGGGTGCAATTCATGTGCCCTGAATTCCTGTCGTTCACCGATAATTCATATCTGGTGTTGGAATAAATGACCCTCTAAAACCAGGCGAATTGCAACAGGCTTTAGCATGCTGCTGTGTTTGACTCTGTCATATTTACTTCATTGAAAACTGGTTTGTGTCATCTGCTGTGTTTCACATGGGTGCCTTTGCGTTTTACAGCCTCTGGCTGTGCATTCTTTCTCAATTATAATAAAGGAAAAAATAATCAAAAACACAAGAGTTTCTGCTAACTTGTGTTAGCAGTACTTGTTCTTCAAGTTCATGTTGCTGTCATTCTGTTGTTGATCGTGGATAATTGTATTAAGTCTAGTTAGCCTGTTTAAATTTTAATCAGTATTTCCGAGTTCCTGGAACATATCCTTTTAATTCAGGGCACCATGGAAGATGCAGTGTCTGGAAAGAAACACAACTGAACGAGCCTTTAAGCAAACAGTATTAAGTGGTGCTAAATGCTGTCAGGAGCTGGCAAACGGGGAAAATGAATTAATGCATTCTAGGCTAACTGAAACAGTCAAAGTCGACTCTTAAGAAATTTAATTGCTGGTTGGCGAAAGCCAGCAGTACTGTATGTATCAGATTTATTAACTTTGATATACAGCAGTGCTCAGTCTCTCAGTCGCCGTCTTTTACTTCTGTATCCAAAATGAGGAGGAGACCTGCCTAGCGTGCACAATAAAACGTATGCATGCAAAAGCAAGTATATATATGTGCACATGAACATATAGTCCACCCATGTGCACACTGTATCGCTTCAAGGCTGCTAGCAAGAGCTGGCACTGTATTGTCATGGCATCATGGCAAACATATAGGGTGGCAAACACTGCATTTGCAATTGCAACCCCTGAGCTGGGGCTCACAGTCCGTTTCCAAGAAGAAGATGTGAACTGAAGTTGGGCAGGTTTAATAGCATTGTGCTAGTTGGGGTGTGCCAATCCTGCAGTTCGGTGAGTTGCATCCAATGGCTGTGATGTGGCGACTTCCAGTGTCCAGCGCACATCCGAAAATTGTTCAGAAATGTGGCTGTTGGGTTTAGTTGTTTGCTGAGCTGCAGTGTCACTGTAGCACACAAGGGCGACACAGAGACTGCTTGCAGACTGTAAAGCTGTGTTCCTAACTGCTTACTAAAACTGATCCCATTAAGTTTTTCGCTGCAAAAACTTTGTACAAAAGTATGCAAAATAAAATGCATTTTAAACACATTTCAACCAAATAAGCCTTTCAACTTCTTTTCTTTACAGAACGCCAAAGCACAAAGGAAAGTGTCATTTAAAATGTTATTGAATGACACTTTTATGAGGAGCGGGTATGACATATTCCCTACGTATAGACTACCGTATCATTATCTTGAACAGAGGTTGTCAGCATGGGAATAATCTTCCAGAAATATCAGAGAAAAGTATAGTAATTTTGTGACAAATAGCATAATTTAGCCCTCTCTGAAAACTTGGCTCGCTTAGATGTACCTGTGTGTGTGAAGAATCTGCTAGTGTGCTTTGACACATGGCACTGTTTTGCAGAAACCGAAGGCGTGATCTATCAAAGTAAAGATCTCTTTGCATTCCTTTTGAAATAAACCAGCCAGCGCTTCTGAAGATAAAGCCACTCTGTTTATATTTCTGAGGTGTCTCGGAGATCTCCATCTGAGAAAGCCATATCCTTGTAATATTGGATACATTCTGAGCTGATATATAGTTTGCCATACAAAATTGTATTGTTTTCAGGCCTTTTAAGAACTTACGAAGTATACAGTATTCCAGGCTTAGGTCAGAGAATTTGCACAGCCTGTTGCTGGGTTAAATCTCCACTGTACATAGTCCCCTCCAGAGCTCTTCCTGAGTCTGGCCTCCGTCAGGCTCACCCCCAGCTCCTGTGCTGCTAATTTATTATGCCCTTCGGACAAGTGACAGGTTCATAAAGAGCCGGTGCGTGACAGGCCCCATCATTCTATCTCATTCAGGCTTTCTAAACTTTAACAATAACCCACAGTGCTCCAGTCTCTCAGCTGTAAAGATCAGGCCTCATCTTTTTGATTTATTTCTGATCTTGTTGATCTAGTTGGCCAGAGTTTTGCGCGCCTGGAGCACTGCCAAACAGGAAATTCAGGGAATCGTTTACATTGCCTACAGTTTCCTCTTATTTCCTTTCTTGTGCCCTTTCATGCAAGTTAATTAAATATTCTGGCAAAGGCAGTTTGAAAACACAGTTCTGAAACCTGACCCTGACAGTAGAAACAGAGAAATCGAATACATCGAGATCCCTATTATGCGTCCAGTAAGTCGATGGATGAAAGTACAGTTATATGCTTTTATACAAGAGATGTGCTCTATGTGTTCTGTGTATACACAGGAACAGATAGTGTTGCAGACCTTAAAAATGCACCCTGCATCTCCAGCAGTGTTTCACTCCTCTGCTAATTGTCATTAACTTTGTGTTTGTCAATGATATCCCATCTGACAATGAAAACGGGAGAAACGGGATGCCTCGTATGAACTGTTTCATATATAGATATATATGTATAGAGGGTCTAAAACATGTGGAAAACTGCCAGTGTTGTACAATGTAGAATTATTTAGAATTAATGAAAATTAATATGCAAATTATGTACTTGAGCAACAAAGTTTTGAAATTGATCTTTTTTTTACCTTAATAACAACCCATTATGTGTTTCCTTGTAGCTCTCAGTGTTCTTATGATGCATCACTGTGTGAGATGTGTAGTGTTTTTAAAAATACAGGCTACCATGCATGTAACATAGGAGGTGATCAGACTTCCTCTGATATTTATTGGTGAGTATCGTGGAGTGACAGGAATTAATCCAACTCTGTCACTCGGGTCCTGCCACGGGCAGGTCCAGTTTCTGATGGTGATAATGATTGCGTGGAGATTTTGTTTTTACCATACACCCTTCCAACTTGGAATTCCCAGTTTTTTTATGAAGCGGCTCTCCAGCAGCTGCAGCCCCTGTACCTAGCTGGGAAGCAGGGACTTATGGAAATGGTCTCCTGACATGTCTACCTGCACGCCGGGAGCTCTGCAGCTCCTGGCGGGAGTGGTGATGCCTATTGGAGGAGCGGACCATCCCTTGCGGACATGTGTGGGGTTCTTGTTCAGCCGTGCCAATGAGCCCTGGCTTCCTCGTGCGAGCCCTACCTTGGTGGTGCTCCGCCGATTGTGAGCTGCCTCTGGTAGACTCCTGGTCACGGCTGGCTTGTGACGTGACCCCGGGCTCGAACCCGTGACGTCCGTGAGCTCAGCCCAAACTCCCGGTGAGCTCCAGAATGGGTTCTGCCGCTTGGGAGCTAATTGCATGGAAACTCCTTCTTCAGAAACGAGGTTCTTGAAGTTGGAAAAGGAACACCTCAGGGTCTGTACCCTGCTTACAGTATATAAGCCCAGTGCACTGGGGGCTTTAATCGCAGAGCACTTAACCTGAGCTTGTTAAGGATTTTCTCTCAGTTGTCAATAAACAACATACAGGAAGTTACTCATTTTCCCTGCCCATCAAAGGCCACTGCTGTGAATTAAAGTTGTGGGGAAATCAATGTACAGCAGAGGGATGTTGTATATTTAATAGAACATGGTACAATGCTACATCGTCATTCAAGAACTGAGTAGTCCTTTAATCATGCAACTGTGCAATATACAGATGACAAAATTGCAGTGCTTAAAGGTTTCTGAAGTTCCTGTTGCAGTAACCATTTGAGTTAAGTTTCTGCCCTAATATGTGTAGGAACTGCCACCTTTTAATTCCAGATGGTACTGTCAAGTTTATATATCACACGCTGGCTTAAGCATCTATTTTCCCCTTTAGAAGAAAGTTGCCTTACACAGGGCTGAACAAAACGAATAGTGGCTACAGCGAGGAGGAAAGAGAGATGGATGATGACAGATTTAAGTAGTCCAGTATTCCCTTTAGAACAGGGAAGCTGTTACTTTATAACTCATGCAAGATTAATCCTGATTTTCTTACTTCTCAGACTTATATTGTTTACCCCAGGAAGGCTAAAGCTTCTGTGTGTAGGTCTTTCAGAGTCACAGAGTGAGAATTCCCATTGCGTTTTAGTTTGTTTGTGGAGCTTCGTGGTGAGCATCCATGTTCCTGTTGCTCTCACTTGTAGGGCCTTCTGCTGCACCTACAGTATATAGGAGCTGTCCTGTGCCCTCTCTGGAGTACAGTGCTTTGATTAACGGAGCTCTCTGTCCACACTTGTTCTCTCGGTCTCACTCCTGGGCACCTCTTACTCTTAAGGACTCAAGGACAATAGTCACTCCCTCCTCCTTGCATGCAGCCTCTCTCCTTTCCATCAGTCTTACCCACACTCTTGTTTTCTTTCTGTCCCTCTCCACCCCCTCTCGTGCAGTGACACACTCGCAGACTTTTGTTCTCCCCTGTGCGCTTGTGCGGATTTCTGTCCCTTCTCCTGCTCCTAGCTCTTCTTCCTTTCCCATGTTTCTCCCTCACCTCCCTCTCCCTCTGTCGAGCAGCTGTGCTGGTTACTATGACACTGCCTGGGTCCCTCGGCTGGCTCGGCCAATCGGAGCGCAGGCCGGGTGTCAGCTGGTGGGGAGCTATTTTGAACGGAGCTGTGAAGTGAAGCAAGGAGCTAAATCTGAGGCACAGAGGCAGTGCCGGCGCTCTCTGGGCAGATCCCATTGACTCCCGAGTGAGAGCAGCTGAGCACGGGCTGGCTCCCTCCCCACGGCGCCGCGCCCCGTCTTCGCGATCGATTAAGTGGGGGCCGAGGCCGCTGGCCGATCCGGTCCGATCCGGTCAGTGTATTGATTTGGTCCCGTCCATGTCCCTGACTGTGGCAGAGGCTGCACGAGTCGGGGGCTGAGTTGTTCTTCTGAGCCTCCCTGCCGCGGACCTGCTGGGGCAGTCTAAGAGGAGAGGTCCGTGTCTCTGCCTCGTCCGCTTGGGTTGGGCGCTTCTGTGAAGCAGGCTCAGCTGAGGCTGTCCGTCGCCGATGTGGGAATGTACCTGTATGGGCTAGATGACTCAGAGCCGGTAAGTGCCTGCCTGACACCATCGCCATCGTTATTCTGATGAGTACTTTTGTGTCACTGTTTGGTAAAGATAGTGGGGCTGTGACTCAGTTGTGGACTTGGTAATGACTAACTCTGAGTGAACTTTGATTTAATAAAAAACTGCTTGGAACCAGAGGACACAAGTGGACACTGTGTGGATGCGCATTTAAAACTGAGAGCAGGAGTCACTTCTCTAGGGGCTGTGAACGAAGGATCTGCGCCTGTGGCTGGAAGGTTGCCGGTTCAAATCCCGCGGCCGGCAGAGGAATCCTACTCCGTTGGGCCCCTGAGCAAGGCCCTTAACCCCAACTGCTGCAGGGGCGCCATACAATGGCTGACCCTGCGCTCTGACCCCAAGCTTCTCTCCCTGTCTGTGTGTCTGTGTCTCCATGGAGAAAAGCTGGGGTATGTGAAAAGACGAATTCTTAATGCAAGAAATTGTATAGGGCTAATAAAGAAACATTATTATTATTGACATTATTATTGTTGTTGAAGCTGATACGCCGGCTTCTTTCAAGAAAGGACTGGATGAGATCCTCATCCTGACAACCAGACAGGCTTGGTGGGCCAAATGGCCTTTTCTTATTTTAGAACTGTTCAAAAGGTAGATGTAACTACATCCACGAAGCCTGGAAAGAATTCAGACCGCATTAAGTCTGCAGAACTAATGAAACAAGCAGAGAGTTTCTCTGTGCAGGACAGCGTGGGTAGGTACACAGTACAAGGACATGGGGAAGTTTAGCACAGGGTAGTGGGAGTGAGAGAAGGTGTTTTTTATAGCTCTGGTTTGTAAGGCAGGGTACTATGGCAGATGTAAATAGAAGCAGCTTCTTACAGGCCTGGAGTCTTTGTGTTAGCAGATCAATTAAACTTGGATCCAGACTCTTGTCAGACGTGACTTTGATGTGTTGGGTGCTGATAAACTATTCTTTCCAAACTAATGTCCCCAGTCTTGAATATTGTGCCAATGATTTAAAATAGAAGACATCTCTTCATGTCATATTTATACATCTACTAAGAGAGAACATTGAACATAAATGTCTGATTTTTGAATTGTTAAAACCTCCCACGTTATTTAATAAATCAGGTATATCCTTACACAACTGGAAACTCTAGTAGAGAATTATGTGTAATGTTTTTTTAAGGTTCTGTGTTTTTCTTCCAGTCCTGAGCTTCTGTTCGCTTTGGTGGGCAGAATGCCGTTTGCAACATGCAGGGCTCTTGAACTAAAATAGCTGCCTTTTTTTTTAATGAATGGCACTCCATGCTGTTTAAGGCCCTTGCATCTATTGATTTGTATTATTTTAGGCAGCCCTTTAAATCACTACAGTTCTGTTTATATTAGTAGGTCAGTTACTGTTGCTAATTGTACAGAGCTGGGCTCCATCCCCTTGAATTTGGAACCCAAAAGCCAAGAGCTCCAGCAAGAAAGACTAAAGGGGGTGTATAGTGTCTGATGCCTTCTTTAAGCTCCCATTCCAGTATTTCCCTTTTGAGCCCCTCTTAATGAATGGTGTGAGATGGAAGACATCTGTATATCTTAGGGACAGCCGAGACAAACATGAGCACAAAAACATGAATCGAAACACCAGCTGCATTGCAGTCCTCACCTGCAAACTCAGAGCTACAGGATGGTAGCTGAGCATCTAACTTTCACCTTTTGCACGGAGGTAGGGTAATGTGATGAGTCAGATCTCTCATCTGCCACAAGCTCTTATGCAGCCTTAGTTTTTTCTTTACCTGGTCTTTGCAGATATTATGAGTGCAGGTCTGCCTGGCATTGAGAGTTACAGGCCTATAGCACTCCTGTAGCACTACTCATATAATAAAACGTAAGTCTCTTTGACCTGGCTTGAGAAGGAGCCAACATAGAGACACGGGACCAGAATTCACTGGTTCCTGAAGATACATCGGCAACAGCAGAGGTGTCACAGTGCAGACCTAAATTTGAATAAGGTCAGTAGAATATGACCTCATGAATGCCTTGTGCCCTGCAGCCTTAGCAGTTGTCCATTCTCTGCTCCCTATTCTCTCAGTTCAGAAAAACCTTGCAAGTTCCCTTCTGCCGGGGGTGAACTGCCCTGCTCAGTAAACAAATTAGACGGGCAGCTTGCCGGCTGTGAAGGATCAGGCCCATTAAGTGTGCTTTCTGGCAAAGAGCTCCTGGGTCTTTTTGGCCCTGAGTCTGTTAGATGCTTTGTGTTGTATTTTAACATGTTCAGAATATGTCACGGGAGGATCATTCTAGGTGCAACAGGCCTGACAGCATGGTGTTACTGCGGTCTTTCTGGTGGTCTGGGAAATGTCTGAGGAGTGGCACGGTGGCACCTTTCATCTGAAGACTCTCACGGAACTGAGTGTACCGGGGCTGGGCTGAGCAGCATCTCATGTGTGATCCAGAAGACATGCAAAAAGCAAAGGACTTACCCCAGTCCTTAAACTCTTTGGTACAGAGTTTCACTGAGTTGCATTCTCTTTGGAGTCTGCATGTTCTCCCCAAGTTTGTGTCGGCTTTTTGCCAGGTGCTCCGGTTTCCTCCCACCGGGTAAAGACTTGCTGGTTGGGATAATCAGTGTTTCTAAGGTGTGTGTGTGTGTCCTGCAATGGCCTAGCATCCCATATAAAGTGTAGCTCTGCCTTCCTTGGTATAGACTCTGGAATGCCATGCCCCTTGTCATACAATAATAACTGGCTTTCTGAAAAGGCGTGGGTGGATATTCAATTTATTTCACAATTTAAAATTCCAAGACCATAAAGGATGAAGACTGTCAAGCCCGGATTACGTATTGATCTTTTGTTTCAGTAGTTTTGTTTTAATCTTTAATCTTATTGTCTTTAAACTTACACTGTGGCTGAATACTATGAGCAAGAAATGTTCCCTGATTCTTTTTCAAAGTCTCAGTGACCTTTAAGTTTGAAAGAATGTTTGGGTTTGGTTGCGATTCTGTGAAATGCCTTCTGTTCTGTGACCACAGGACACAGTGAAGACACAAATCTGCCCCACCCCCCTGTTGAAAGCTTAGTATCTTTAGTTTAGATGTGTGCTGTGCCCTGTTACCCCTTGTGTTTCCCCCAAGTTAAACAGGCAGTGATCTTGATCTATTGGTTATAACACAGTGCCAAGAATTACCAGCAGTCACTGCAGAAATGTCAAGCTCAATGGAGTGACACTGGTACGGCTCATCAGGATTGTGTTTGCCTCCTGCCCAGTTTTTAGGCAAAACTACTGTAGGTGGTGGTGATGGCTGGGGTGGGTTCAATGTTTCTATAGGCAAATATTTTCACACCAGTATGATGGCAAATTTATGCATTCAAAATGCATTGCTCATATTTCCTTTGATGTTTCACTGTCGCAGTGAGAAGATGGAACTACACGTAAGCTTGACAGAAGATTTGTGCTGTTTCAGAGATTGAACTTGGCACGCACCCTCGGTTTATACCCCTTATTTCCAAAGTGGCATGTGTACTGGTGTAGAAATGTGTACTGGAGGTGTGGTGAGCATACCAAATGCCAGATATAGAAAACACATCACATTTCGAGAATTCGCTGCCAGATCAAATCAATTGTCCCTAATGAATGTTTGATGTGATGTACAATAGTGAGAGCGGAGCATTGAACTGGCAGGAAAAGGCTATGCCGTGGGTAACAATGTAAAAAGGAAATCAATGTAAATACAGGCTATATAAGCATGGTAAAATCATCGGAGAACTGGGACAAAGCTGTGCAAATCTGCTGTTCTGAACATCTTTAAGAGTTATGTCCAAAGCTGCAGTCAGAGACTGTCTGATTATTGAACATCCCAGATTGAATTTGGAAATGTCAGCCATTCTTTGTATAGCTATATGACAGTATGGCAGCTTCTTTTGGCTTTTGATTAAGATTTGATTTTTCGCCCATATTGGAAATATTGCGAGAATCCCTGAAAACAGAAAGCACTTTTCTGTCGCTTGACATCTCATTGTTTCCAGTGAGTCACTTGATATACAGCTTTCCCCTTGTGTTTCCTGCATGTTGAGCAGGCGGTGATCTTGATCTATTGGTTATAACACAGTGCCAAGAATTACCAGCAGTCACTGTGCAGAAATGTCACGCTGAACAATGGAGTGACACAGGCACGGCTCATCGGGATTGTGTGTTCCTCCTGCCCAATCTTAGACAATAACTTTTGTTCAAACTACAGTATGTGGTGGCGATGGCTGGGTTGTGTTAAACATTTCTGTTGGAAAATGTTTTCATGAACAGTATGATTGCAAATGTATGCATTAAAATGCATAGCTCACATTTCTTTTGCTGTTTGATGTATCGCTGTCACTGTGTAAAGACAGATCTGCATGTAAGCTTGACAGTGAATTTCATTTCAGTGCTCTTGTCTCAGAAATTCTCAAGGACTGGAATTATAAACAGAAACGCTGTTAAAGACTTCAATAGCTACAAATTATTCTGTACAAGGCACTAGTAGTAGACTAAGTATATACAGTATATAAAACATTTTTGGGGGTCTGATAGCATGATAAGTTTGATTCTACAAAACGAATAGCAGCCAGTAGTGTACACATTAAGGTGATCTCTGTCAAAACACAGCAGGTAATGCATGCATTTGATACAAAACTATAATACTTTAGTGTGTGCTTTGTCATAACATTCCAGAGAGTCATTAATTAGTTTTTCAAGAGAAATGTTGCCTGTTTTGCAGGAAGGCCAGAATGTGGTAATCGTAATTTACAAAAGCATTCCGGGCATATTAAGATGCTAGGTAATATTTTTTTCTGGATTTCAGTGTCTGGACTTTTGTCAGCTTTCATCCTCAGGCAAGAATAGCACAGTGTGTACAGGACAGCCCAGCTCTGCTGTGCTCCCAGCAGTAAAAGGCCTGTCCTGCTGTCTGCTTCCATCTGTCATCCTGTTAAGAGCTGTGACAGCTGCACATGCACACTGCCGTGTATTAACCCCCTCATTGCCTTACCTGGGACACACGACTAGAAGTTTCATTCTCCCTGGCCTGCGGTTGTACACACCACCTGTGCCCCTGGGCCTCCTTCCCTGGGAGTCTCTCTCAGTGCCTCATCCTGATAGAGTCTTCCCTTTCTCAGACAGGGGGACACATACCTCAGTCTCCCTTTTCCTGTCCATCTGCCTCCCAGGTGTCCTCTTGCTGTTTTGTCTCGGCCCCCTGAAGATGTTTGCCTTTCACCCCTGTCCTGTTCAGTCTCGGACCACAATGAATTGACTTTTTCCCCCTCTGCTACCTTTCTCTTCTCTCCCTCTTTCTTGACCCTTGACTCCTTGCCATGCCAGTCCGGACATAACCTTATTCCCCTCTACACCTCTCTGTGTGCTTTCATCGCCCTTTCTCCTACTGATTAATTCTGGTCACCTCTTTGTGCCCCTTCTGTGGGTTCCGTTATTTTTCTGAAGCCATAACCTCCTCCTCCAGCTCCTCCTCTCCTTTCTCTCCTGCAGGGCTCTGCAGACTCGTACACGAGCCGGCCCTCCGACTCGGATGTGTCTCTGGAGGAGGACCGGGAGGCTCTGCGCAAGGAGGCGGACCGGCAGGCCCTCGCCACGCTCGAGAAAGCCAAGGTGAGCCCGGTCGGCCCCCTGGCAGGGGGCATCTCTAGGGAGGGACAGCGCTGACGTCTGGCAGGGGGGCTTAGCTCTGGAGGATCACCGACTCGGATGGAAACTCGTCTCTTGCATCATTTACTAAAACACGGCGTCACAGACTCACATCTGACTCTCTCCCACCAAGACCTCTTTCTTCCCCCCTTTTCTTTGGCTCGGCCCTGGGAATGTCTGTGATTCACTGCTTGCAAGGGTGCTGGAAAACTCGGGTAGATCAGATTCACTACAAAGCGCTCTTGATCACCCGGAGAATTGGAGGTGGGTGGTCTTCTGACCAGCAGGCTGGGCAGGGAAAGTCTTAAGGAGTATCCAAATGGCTTGTTTGGACAGAAACAGACATTAAACAATGCAGTGCTTGTGTAGCAATCCCCAAAGCACAACCTGAGGTTCCTGCAGTGCATTTGTGATACATATAATTAGTGCACAGCTCAATTAATAACCTCTTAACGTATGTTAGAAACAGAATTAACCATGCAATTGACCCTGCCCTTTGTAGCCACACTGCATGTCTAAGTAAGTCATATTAAAAGCAAATCGTAAGCTCACAGCTGATTGTGCTCTGAGTGTGTGCTATTCCACTCTGTGCTATTGATGGTATTGGCTTCCTGCTTTGTGCGTTTCTCCCCTGCAGACCAAACCTGTGGCCTTTGCTGTGAGGACGAATGTGGGCTACAACTCTGGCCCCAACGATGACGTGCCTGTCCAAGGAATGGCCATCTCCTTTGAGGCCAAGGACTTCCTTCATATCAAAGAGGTCAGGGCTGCTTTTCCATTGGCCAAATAATTGGTTTGTCGGTCAGTCTCTCCCAGGTGGGGTCTACTCCGTAATCATAGCTTAACACATCGTCTACACGAGACAAGATCAACACAGAGCACTTAACTCTGCGCACGTGCCTGATTTACCGAATTCTGAGCAGCAGGCTTGGCTATATGAAGATTCATCCCGTCTCGAAGAAAGCAAGTTTCAAATAGGGTCATGGGGAATAGAGGACCCCAGACTCTTATGATGGGGGGAGCCCCTTTTGGAAGCAGTGTTTTTGGACAGGTAACCCCCCCCCCCCAGTTCGAAGTTCAAGTAGATATGTAATTTTTTTTCTCATTTATATAAAAAAAAACCTCATTATTATATTGTGGTCTATGACTTAATGTACTCATAAGCCAGAAACGATAGTTGACTTTCCTTGAAATTCATCGCCTTTAAAGAGAGGAAAACTATTGATAGACTTAGGGTGAAATGTTTTCCAAAATATTTGGGGACCTCCCTGGAATATTTCTGAATTGCTTCCCTGCAAAGATCCGCAAACCCCATTTTAGCAACGTCCATCTTATTGTAAGGTGAGGAATATACTGTAGCAGCTGCTGTTGCATCAAGTGGGAAATGGAGAAGAAGGGGGTGCAGGGAGTAGGGGGTGCTTCCGAAGCAGATGTTCTTAACTGAGCTGTTACAGGTCAAAGGAGTTTATATTTAAATACGAAAAAACAGGGGGAGAAGGGTACACCCTGTAAGTTGTAAGCTACGGAGTTTTATTTAACAAATTGGTCACCGTAAGTGATCACTGCTGCCAAATGCAACTGACACAACTCAAAAAGATTCATGACCGAAGTGGTGCTCTGTGTTCCCACTGGTGAGCTCATGGGACTCATCTGTTTCTGTTGCCATTTCTAGTTAAATGTCATTAAAGTGAAATCGACCATTGAGGATTGTTACCAGTGAGCAGTATAAAAACATGGGGTGTAAATCAAAACCAGCACCTGGGCATACTGAGGTATTTAGAAACATGGCTTGCTCTGAGTTAAAAGACCTCAAGCAACGGGCTTGGAGGAAGATGCTGAGGGACTTGTGTATTCAGGACAGCCTCGTCACAGATTGGTCAGTAATTTCATGCCAAGCCGTGCTGTTGAGCCCCCAGAGGCTCCCAGCCTGTAACTGGGGCAGGGGCTCTCAGCACCTTCTGGAGCTCCTTCTGTCTCCTCCTGCAGAAGTACAACAACGACTGGTGGATCGGCAGGCTGGTGAAGGAGGGCTGCGAGGTGGGCTTCATCCCCAGCCCGGTCAAGCTGGAGAACACGCGCCTGCAGCAGGAGCAGAGGATGAGGCAGAGCCGGCTCAGCTCCAGGTGTGCCAGCGCGCTGGAGGCGGTGCACGAGGCATGGGACAAAGGACATGGGGCATGGGAAGAGGGCAACAGGACACGGGGCACGGGATAAAGGACATGGGGTACTGGGCTTGGGACAGTGGACACAGGGCATGGGACAAGAGACAGAGGGGACAGGACAAGGGGCATGGAGCACAGGTCAAGGGGCACAAGGCGCAGGACTAGGAAAAAGGGACATGGGGCACAGGGCACAGGAAAAGGGGCACATGGAACCCGGGCTGTACTATCGCTCTGATCCATCCACAAAGTGAACAGGCCTTGTCTTCGGGTGGGGTGGTGAAGATCGCAAATCTCTGGTAAGGCGTTGAACTGGCGGAGGCCCTGGTGACGCAGCCAACAGGACAAACTCAGCGACAGTGCACTGGTCTAGGCAATACTGCCCCCGTCTGCGCATTCATTCCCCTTTCGCCTCGCCCCAGCATTTCTGGCGTTTAATATGACCCTCTCTGCGCTCATCAGGCCAGGCTGTCGTTACTCTGAGCATCGCCCGTGGGCCTGTGGTGTGCCCTCTGTCGCCCAGGTCGGTCCTAGCTTTGCCTGACTGCTGCAGTTTCTTCTTGCAGTAAATCTGGAGGGAACTCCAGCTCCAGCCTGGGGGATGTTGCCACAGGGACACGCAGACCCACCCCGCCTGCCACAGGTAAAGCTGCCGCATCTATATGTAGTGGAAACCTTGAGCAAACCCACATGCAGCACCCTCATTTGAGCCGATTCCTTTAAATATGAACTCACAGCCCCTTAACTGAAAAGCTGCTTCACAAGTTGACAAAACTGCTTAGATCGGATACTGTTTTACTGCAGGGTTATAGGTAGACCAGGGGTCTCAACCACTGGTCCTGGAGAGCCCCGCGTCATCAGGTTTTATAGGAAAACCAGCATCGATTTCTAAAGACCCGGAGCTGTTTTAGTTACGTGGTTGAATGTTTCAATTAAATAATTTAGACGTCATTTGGAACAAATATCCGAAAACAATTTAGCCCTTGGGGGCAGAGTTTCCTTAATGGAACACATTACACGGTTAATCAATAACTTACAAGGCTTCCCAGTCTTTAGAAGCACAGTAGGTGATTTAGGGTTGCCTGTAAGACTTTCTGGACCAGGGCTCTTCAGGACCGAAGCGGGAACCTTTCTGGGTTTTTTGTTCTGCTTGAGTGTTGGAGATCATGCAGTCAGTCACTTGAGAAATGCACTCGTCCAGAGGCACAAAACCTTTGTTTAGAAGCTGAAAAGATCTGAAGAGTTCAAGTTAAATCTATTGTTAGGCCCATTAAGGAACAAAAAACAGGTCGGGGAGGGGGTACCTATGAGCAGAATTGGGAGACCTTGCTCGTAAGTTATATGGATTTAAGGAAAATAAGCAAATTGAGTATCAATGATTTTTACTGAGACTGTAGATTGAGAGTAGTTTTCCTCAATTCCAGACCTTAAAGCCTACAATCCGACAGGCTTTATAGGTCTCCCTAAACCAATTTTCTGCTGAATTTCTCCAGTGAAGAGAACTGCATTTACAGTACTTATAGTTCAGGTAGAAAAAAAAAACAGAAGACTTTGTAGCCCTTGAGCACCCAGTATGAGGGATGCTGATGTGATTCACACAGGATGTATATTTAACATGTGCCTTTGACAGAAATTAAATTTAGAATGTTCAGTTCGGTAGCTGACTGAGGAAATAACAGTTTGGGTGTTGCACTAACGAGAAATTTATATGAGATCTCTCTTCAGGGGAAGTTGTCACCTTTTCCTGTGTCTATTAAAAACAAAAACTAGGCAATTCCCCTGGAATAAGATGTTATGGCCCCAAAGTGTCTAAAGGACTGGAAGCCATTAAAACAAATTTGTATTTGTATTCACCCGGAATGCTTTTTTAATCTGTGGTTTTAAAGTTTATATTCTACCTGCAGAACACAAAACGTGCTTTGTAGCTCGCGCAGGATCTTGAGAGACAGAAGGCCCCATGCTCCTCTCAGCCGATGGGCTCTGAGCCATTGCAGATGCGTTCGATATGTTTGGTCTGCGAGAAATGTGACAGTGACTTTAGATTCACCTGTGGCTTCAGTCTCCAGTGTGACGGCTTCGGACTGTGAGCATGGACTCACTGCGAGAGATCCGTGTGAATTTCTTTTAATGGCTTCATCCACTGTGGCTGTACAGGGTACGACTGTACTAGTCCTGTGTGCTGCTGATGTCTCTTCTAGATATCCCGAATCTTCTTTGCTCTGCTGACTTAGCAAGAGCCCCCCTCCCAACACCAGCTTGCCCTGGTCCCTGTGCCCACACCTCCCCTCTCCCTCTATGGCCACCCTGCCGAAAAAATATCTCTCATGCTGATATTTTTCTCTCCTGTGTCTGTCCACCCTGACTTGACCCGACGATGACCTTTTGTGTTTTTTTAATGGTTTCATTTCCATTTTTCTGCCACATCGGCATGTTTCCTCGACTTCCAACACTTGTGTTTTACTGCCTTTTATTTCTTTTCTCGTTTTCTCCATCTTCGTGATCCTCACTTCTCCGACCCCTCTTCCCCCTCTGACTCGTGTCTTTCCCTGCTGCTTCCCGGAACCCGTGTCTCTCCCTCTCTCCCTGTCTCCCGGCCCACGCCACTCCCTGAGCTCACTCTTCTCCCCCCTCTGCCCCCTCTCCCCCACCCTCTGCCTCTGTCTGCTCCTCCTGTGCCCTTTGATTCGCCCCCCCATCCCTCTGTGTCCCCCTTTCTCCCCCACCCCATCGCTCCCCACTGCGCCCCCTCCTCCCCCAGCTCATGTGGAGATATCCACAGTGGGTTTTGATGTTGACCCCCTCGACTTGGATGCAGAGGAGCCTTCCGAGCCCCCGATTGACTCCCGCTCCCCCAAAACCAGCGTGAGCAGCGTCACCTCCCCCCAGGCTAATGCCAAGCGCATCCCTTTCTTTAAGAAGGTAAAACCGGTGGCCGTTGGCACAGCTGTTAGGACCCAGAGCTGCTGCTGCTGCTGCTTCTGCTACTGAGATACACCCCCGCCCCCTCCTCCTCAACCCCCCTCCAGCCAACCCACCGCGTCTGGTCTGTAATCCCCCCCCCGCTCCCTCACTAACCCTCTCACCCCTCTGTCTCCGGTTGCTACGGTAACAGTTAGAGCTGTGTGTGCGTATTGGGAAGGGTGAGCTGGCTGTCACAGGAGGACCTGCACGGCCTGCTGGGTAGCATCAAACAAAGTTCAGAGGGGAAACGCAAAAACCGGACGAGACAGACTTGTTCAGTATGAGGGAGAAGCGCCCTTTGTTTCACGTCACGAATGTGCTGCTGGGCTCGTGGAGTTACAAGCCTGAAGGAGCAGGGCTCGCAGGAAATGTGGCCGTGTCAGAACACACAGGTGGGTCTGCTGGTTAACCGGGCAGTGCTTTTTAAAGAGGCCTCCAGCTGTCTCTGAAACCCACAGCCCTTGCTCCTGTTTTATAAACAAGCTCCTGGCATCTGTACGGATTTACAAATAGCTCCCACAGATACCCGTGTATTTTCACTGCCAGGAGAACTCTGAGGAGCTGCCCGCTCCACCTGAGATACAACAGAGACAGACACAAGATCAAATATGTTCACGCTTATTTGCACAAAATTAAATGCGGCTCAGTACTTCTGAAAGATCGTTAAAAGTGGTTTTGATGCTCCCTTGGTGGTCTTTGCGTTGTATCATGAAGCGCCTCTGACAAAGTGGTCGTTAAGAAGACTCTGTGGTTATAACAATGTGACTTAAGGTTGCAACAAAATGTGCAAAAATCAAATCCAACGCTTCCTGTCTCACAGCAGGGTTCTGCTCTGCTCCAGTCTGGAGGTCAGTGTGGCCGGCTCACCCCTTGCAATATCTCCGTCCTGACCTGTCAATAACACTCCTGCTCTGTGTTCTTGTTTTTTTTTCTTGTTTGTTGGGGGTTTTGTTTGCGGAATGAAAGGTGGTCCAGCTAAACAGAAACAGAAGTCGGTGAGTCTGTGGTGTTTATTCTCTCATTGGGCCTCTGGGGTTGAGATGTGATTCAGTCTCTTTCTGTATGGGGCTGTGGAAGCTTATCTTCCAGGAGCTGCCTCGCCTGAGCTCCTCCTGAGCTGCACCTGAACTCCTCCGGAGTTCTGGCAGGCCAGGGAAATTCTTTTTGGCTGGATTTATTGATTTCCTTTGATTATTTATTTCTGTTTTCGAAATCTATTTGTTCTCTTTTATTGTTTTTGATTTGCAATTCCGTTTAAAAAGCGCCATGTCAGGATAACTCCAGCGTTTGGTAATGCACTTTGAAATGTTTGCATTTCAATTAAACGGTTTAGCTTCGATGGCAGTGTCTCCGGATGTCACGGTGTCACTGTGATTTCGAGAGCTAATGCAGGCAGTGTATGCACATGACATCAGGGTTCATTAGCGGCAGACTTAGCAGTCCTGTGCTATGCAAAACTAAATTTAGATGTTTGAGACTGTGATGTGAAATCAAATGACTGAAAAAAAATGACCAGGTATTACACACTGTAAATCGTTTTAGCTGCATGGCGAATTGTATTAATTCATACTTTGCTTGCATCTCTGCTCTGTCTGTAATTAACAATTGGCACACTGGTAAGTTCATTTTATGGCTAGAAGGCCTATTGTGTCATGTGGTATTCCTGACACTGCTAAACTGCATATATAGTCCATTCCTAGAATCATTTCGGATGCTCGCTCGTTATGGATCCAGGCTGGGTTTTGCAGATGATATGATGAGCTGCTAGAGGGTAAAGGACATGGCGTGGGTTGCTGCACCCCCAGTTGAGAGCTATGATCGAGCTGCAGGGAGATATTGAAGTGCCTGGAGCTAAAATGTGCAGCAGACCTTTTTAAGCACTTTCCCTGCGGTCTGTGGCGTTTGAGGCTGAAAATATTGCTAAGTGCAGAATTATACTGAAAACGGTCAGAGGCACAACGTGTGTTATTAATTCCTCGACGTTCCCTGATTAACGCACTCGAACGTGGAGCGCCCAGAGGAACTTGTGGTGCTCACATCCCACTTTCTGTACACCTTGATACCCCCTTGAGTACGACTATACAGAACACTTTGGCCTTGCATGCACAATGAGACCATGATGCTTTCAGGCACAAAAGGCATGCAAAGATTTGCCTGTGAGTCAGTGCCATAACCTAGTGGGGGGGGGGGGGCACAATCTGGGAATGCTGGGAATGTTGCTGTTAAAAGTGTTGTGATGTGAAACCACTAGGGCCACCCATCCGCTGTCACCAGGCTAGTTAGACGTACCCTTGCAGGAAACTGCACTGTCGAGCAGCCCTGTCTTATTGGCCTTTACACACCGATCCAGAGTGCCAGACAGGACAAGCAGACATCCATGCTGTTCGCGGTAAAGTTCTTAGACACGCTGGTAGAAAAAGACGTAGCCGTTTTTTTTTTGTTCGGCTGTAGAGATGCTAGGAAAGGGCAAGGCATGCTGAGTAAGCAAACAAACTCCCGAGCCGTTGGGAAGTCCATGAAACCCTCTGTCGTTCTGCCGGCAGAGCAATGAGCACTTGCCCCTGCTGTCTGTTACCCCTCTTCTCTCTCTGGCTGCAGATGGAGCATGTACCCCCCTACGATGTGGTACCTTCCATGAGACCCATCATTCTGGTGGGGCCGTCTCTCAAGGGCTATGAGGTAACCGAGCTGTGAGCAACCTTCTATTGCTCAAATAAAAGGAGCATCTTATCTTCCTTTAGCGCTGTAGATTCATGGTTTGATTTTCCCATTCAGCTGTGACATTGGTAATTTTTCTGCATATAAAAGAGCACAAAGCATTCACTTTTTAACAGCTGTTTTAAAGGTGAACAACAGTATTTTACATCGTTATGCACCTGTGTTTAGGGTGGTTAACAGGTTTAATTTAACAATTTAACACAAACCCTTTAGATTGAAAACTGGTGTTTTACTATGGTATTTTGACTGCAGCAGAAATATGACTATTGAAATTTGGCAGGTCTAACTCGGTTTCTCTCTTGCAGTAGATCCACTTTTTGCTTCTCTCCCTTCAAACGGGAGTGGGCAGATTGTCATCAGTGGTTGAAATCAACAGATGCTTGTCCATCCTTTCTAATCACCTGCTCCCCCTCTCTCTCTGTCTCACTGCCTCCCTTTCTCTCCCTGTTTTGTGACAGGTCACTGACATGATGCAGAAGGCTCTCTTTGATTTCCTCAAACACAGGTTCGATGGCAGGTAAGCCACCTTTTACAGTCACGTAATCAACTGTCTTCCAGAAGCCAGGTTCTGTTTTCTGCAGAATAGGCAATGGAAGGGACCCCTAGTAAATAGTAAGGCAGGGCATTGCAAAAGTGCATTGAAAAGAAACTAAACATTCGTGGTTCTAATATGTACTGAAATGGTTGATATTGAGGCAGATTTGTCTAGAAACTGCGTGAACCAGCAGTGGAAGGGTGATGTATTGATGAAGTGTGGTACATTGACATTAAAAAATGAAAAAGGATTGTGAATTTTAATGACTAATTATTTCACAGTGGGAAAAAAAGAATCACAAAATTCACACCAGACAGAATGATATAGGGTTGACTGGATAATAAGGTTCTAATCCACATTCAAATGAAGGGAGATGTGAAATTTACGGCACCTACAGAAATTGTTGCCAATTCTTTTTCTTAGATCTTTGGTTTAGTTTGTACTTCTCCTTGGACCAACTTGTGTTTAACAATTCTTAAATAGTCAGGTAGGAACAAAGAGTTCTGTTCTAGCTGTCTTTCTGAAATAAATGTTTTTAATTGCCTTGCTCCGACTTTCCATTGAAAGTCTTTGTTAGCTCATTAATTTTTTCTGTTTACTAATTGTGTGGATTAATTATAAGAGATTTTTACTCACTGGTGAATCATCATTCACTCAGTTGAGATGGGGATGATTCAGGACAAGGAATCCTAACATCCCAATGCAATAATGGTGTCAATAATAATAATTTTTATTTTTGTTTTCTCAGAATATCAATTACTCGGGTTACGGCTGATATCTCGCTGGCAAAGCGTTCGGTGCTCAACAACCCCAGCAAACACACCATCATAGAGCGATCCAGCACCCGCTCCAGCCTGGGTAAGAGTGGACCCAAGCCCCCCGCACACTCACCTTCACACAAGTGCACGTCTGATGGTGTACACTCACACACATGCACAGCTACATGTGCACGCCCTCCAATGTCCACTCACTCTCATATGCACAGCTACAGTACACTCGCACGCCCGCCAGTGTGCACTCACACTCATAGCCACGCCCTGTGGACGTACAGACTGGTTCCTACACATGCCAGCTGACACTGCTGCTGTGCGCATACTGAACGGACATGTAAAACACACGCAACACACGTAACACAAACTGGAGTCCACAGTGATGCAGATTTACAGATGTAGAAATTGTTCATTTTCTTCCATTCAGACTAAAACTGGGTTGTGCATTTTACCTGGCATATAGGCATCTCCCAAAGCTCCAGATAAAAAGACATTAGTGAGCTGATATTCACAAGTAACAGGGGGTCAAGGGCACTGCACCTGTTGCAGAAGAGACATCGCCCACTTGAAACCCAGAGTTGATTCTCCCTTGGATCAACGGGGTTCACTGCTGTCTGAGGAGCCCTGAACCCCCCCGCCTTCGTGCCCCAGCAGCGCAGGACACCACACATGTTCCACTCGCCCCCATCGTCACTCCGGTGTGGTCTCAAACACGAGCGTGCCCGCAGACATCCACGCCAAGTCCAGCCCCGAACAGGCTGTAGACGGGAGAGAGGCCCCTTTGCTAGCTGGTGGTGATCCTCTGCTGTGTTTGCCTGCCACTCTGAAGTCGTATTTGTGTGTCTGTCAACTGGTCAGCCGTGCAGCAGCCACCCAGACAGAAGCTAAAAGTGTCCCCTTCAGGCTGAAGAACCACAAAGTTAGCAGATTAAGGCATTTTTCTTTAATTGTTGTCACCAAAATAGAGAGTCATTTAACATGTGGAGCTATCTGCAATATGCGAAAAACATGATTGATTAAGAAAACATCCACTGATAATGGTCAACCTGCCAATGTTGTATGTATCAACAGGTTAGAGTATGTTTGGGCATTGGCTTGCAGTGATGGTCTGGATAATTGGAATCTCCTGGTACAGAGGCAGTTGTGGGAATTGCCTATCTTATTTATGGCTCTTGCTAACAAATGTCTGGCCCTACACACCGAATCCATTCTTACACTGGCAGGAACAATCTTCGTAGTGAGTTCTGCTGTTCCCAGAAATAACCATCTAGACTAACATCTTATGAATAAGAATTATCAATGATAAAATCATTGTTCTGTTGTTTTTAACTGAAGCAGAATTAGCCTGCTCATTCAATATATAGACGTTTTTCATGTTACATGAATAGAAACACCAATGGCTGTTAATTTACCTTATGGTAATTCATTTACCTTACTCTCCTTTCTGAATGGAGTAGGACACGACTGTCCAATCGTGGTCCTGGAGGGCCTGTGTGTCCGCAGGTCTCTTTAAGGCAGCAGCACTTGAAAAGCTGAGAGAAGCTGTAAAATTGGGCCAGTTAAACCTGTAACCAGCTGGTTTAGCTTCTTAAGAGCTAAATTGAATTGAAAATCTTCAGACACTCTGGCTCTCCAAGAACTGGATTGACATGCCTGGAGTACAGAATGCTGCCGTTAAGTTGCCAAGACTATTTTAGTTTCCCTTTAATAACTCTCTCGTCAAAATTTTGATCTTTATAGACTTTCTTCTAAATAATTGGTTCATTCAAAATAATTTGTTCAATAAACAGTTCTTTACAATCTTCAGACACAATCTGAGCATGATTACAGTTTTATTTCAGTTTTATTTAATTCAAAAGAATTTGTTCGATAAACAGTTCTTTACAATCTTCAGAGAAAATCTGAGCATGGTTACAGTTTTATTTCAGTAAGAAAGTGCGCTTACTAAAATTGAAAGCTGTGTTTTACTACTCTTTTCCAAAAAAATAAAACCGAGCCTAGGTTGAGAATTGTGAACTGTATTGCTTTCTTCATGAACAGCAGTAGTGCAGATAGCGCAGCTGGTACTGTAGGTGTATGCTACTACAGGGAAGGTGGGGTTTTTGGAAAGACTGCTAGCTTGTCCCGTGAGCACAGAACAATGATGCACTGAAGGGCTGTTTCAGTGCCAGGCCACGCCCTTGATGGTCTTGGAGTGGTGTTTCGAATTGCCCTGACTGACTGTCTGAATCTGATGTTGGCTTTTCTCTCTTTCTCATTCTGTCCCTCCCCCCCACTGCTCCTTTCCCCCAACCCTGCGCTGTCCCTCCCTCTCTGACTCAGACGTACTGGGTACGTATCCTCCATTAATACAGACTAGCGCCTCTCCTCTCATTGCACCAGCCTGTTGGTCGGTCCGTCTGTCTGCCTGTTGGTCTGTCTGCTTGCCTGCCTGTCTTCTCTATCTATCTACATGCCTGTACAAGAGTTCTAACATGCCTGTTGCTTGCAATAACAAAAGAGCAGCACAAGGTGACTCTGCTCTGGGCTTGACTTTTTGGGTTTCCAAGAACAAAACCCCTCACATCCAGGATGAATTTCAAAGCATTCATCCTTTTCACTCCAGTAGGAAATGAGCTCCTCTCTAGCTAAAACTTTAAAACTAAGTAAAAAAAAAAACATCCCTCCCATGTCGTGCTTCTCTCTTAATTTGCTTTTACATTTATTTAAAAAAAAACAGGGATCTGTCTTAGCTTTTGAAAGTCCTGTGGATCTGAAGGTAGCGACCATATATCATGTTGAAGGAATCTAGGTGTTATGTTCTTTGTGGGTGCCATTGCTATGACAGACCTGTATTAATTTATACCAGCATCCACATTCAAAGCGCAGAATCTGGGAGCGATTGATTCCACCAGCTCATCCTTCATTGCATTCTGTTGCTACCCCACCTAGGTCACAGGGCAGGGGTGTGTACCTCTTCCCACAGTCAAATGTGCAGCTCTCACTGCTCCCTGCAGAAGCCCCCCCCCCCTCCGGTTTGCCACACCCTGTTTCTTAATGACTCAACATTTCCAGCTACAATCCCTGAAGAGACTCTACCTCACCATGCCCACCTGTCAGAGCCCATCAATCTGTTGATGCACTGCAGGCCCTATGGTGCTTCAACAGCAGGGATGAAGCCAGCTGGAGGAATAGGGACATCTCTCACTAGCCTGAAGTCCCAGAAGTTGCTATAGTCTTGAAAGAATGACCTGAGAGGACCCTGGCCAGCTTCTGCCCACCCCACCCCAGTAGCACGCGGCACTACAGCTTGGGAAATACAGTCAGAGCTAGCTGGTCATGTGACCCCAGGTTCCCCAGAGATGGCTTAACCTTCTGAATGCCTTCAATAATTCAGCTGTGAGGGAGCCACAGATTTCTAAAGTTTGCTGACTTTGGACTTTCCCGTGTACTTTTGAAAGTGTTTAGTTAAGATCTTGTACCTCAGCTGGCACACGTCATGCTGTTCAGGTCATTAAAATATAGTCCACTTCTGCTGGACTAGGGAGGCTCTGCACTCTGATGCACAATGGTTTACAGAAGCTACTCTACAAAAACAACAACTGGGATTTTCCAAGGGGTTTGAACTTCTGGAATGCTCTCTAGGCCCTGAGCCCTTTGTGTTTGGTTCCTTTCCACATCTGCACAGGATCTGAGAGACCTGTCATGTATTTGAGGTGAAATTGGTCTGCCTCCAGTTTGATGCCCTTTAGAAAAGGAGAGACCTTTTTTCTCAGAATCCTTAAAAAGACCTTTTATCTTTGCAATACAGTGTGCGTAGCTGAAAGTATCCCAGCTGTGTTATGGAGCATAATGAAGTTAGTGATGCTTTGCAAAGAAGGGAGCACAGCTTTTTTTAGATGCAGGGAGCTGGTTTTTCGTTCAAATGGGGAAAAATATAAGTTCCTTTGTGTGAGCCGAGCTGTAAAATGAAATATACTGTGAGTATAAGACATGGTAGAGGCTCTACAAAAATGATGTTAAAAGAAACCAAACACCGAAAACAGTTCAATTGTATAAAGAGATAATGCTTCCCTTTCCACTAGTCATACTCATCTGTCAATACTCTGTTTGTTGAGAGAGGGCACATTCAGTAGCTCATTGAGGTCCACTGGACCTGCGCGTGCTCTTTTGTCCACAGATAAAACGCCTAACAAGCACAGTGATTCTGTGTTGCTTTCATTAAAGGAAGTGTCCTGAGCAATAAATAATTAAAATACCCATTTAAATTGTTGGCATTGCAGGATCGAATATTGTATGTGTTCTAATGGCAGAAATTCAAATAACTTTTCGCTGTGATATGAAGACAAATTTCCAAATTAATCAAGCAGGTTTTTTTTTAACAGACTACAAATATGGTGAAGGTTTTCCATTTTGTTTTGTTTTTTTCAGGAACAATTTCCTTGCAGACGAATATGCAATGTTAAAAATGTTCTCTCTACAGATGGGACATCCGGAATAGGGATTGGGAGTTTTGATAAAGAGGCTGGGTGTTTTTTTGTTTACTGAACGGCTCGGTTGGCAGTCTTGATTACTTGAAGGAGAACAATTTACTTAAACCTCCAGATGATGCAAGAGATTATAGGATGGCTACCTATATCATCGTATAATTCCCTTTAAACACACAAACTGGTGTGTTCATGAATGGTTGCCTCGATGGGCATATTCTGCATTGAGGATTGTTGGTGCAAAGAAAGTCTCACATATGTTTAACCTTACTGTTTGAATGAGAAATTACTTCATATTCTAGCTATTAAATATACAGTCTTACTTTTACTTGACTTTATTTTTACTCATTTCCTGTGTTGTCATTTCAGCGTTTTGTGCTGTTACAATATGCCGAAATGCACGCATCAGTGTTATTTGTATTTTCTTATTCTTATTGAATTTTCATTTTCTTATTATTTCTTATGAAACATTCAGAGTAGAATATTTCAGAGACAGAAGTAGTTAAGTTTGTGCTCCTCGACTCAAGCTTGAAGTTGAGGAAAACAGTCCTGTCAGATGCATCTTCAGCTTACTGATTGTGTTGCTGTAGAGGTTAGGCTTACTGAATTACATTCAGCAACTGGCGTTGTAATTCTGCACATGAATATCAACATGTCATTGCATAGCATACTCCTCCCCTGCTCCCGCATTTATGTTAGTTAATCTTTTCTTATTCATCATTTTCTTAATTCATCTGCCCCTGCCTCCCTTCTGCTAATTGAATTTTCGTTATCTCTGACTTATTTAATTTAAAAGCAGGAGGGCAGCCCTCGGGCCTCTTCTTAATCCTGACTGGCTGGACTCCCCCCTGCTGCTATTTCAACTCTGATAGAGAAGCATTTGTCAACTAAACGGAACAGAAAACGCTCAAATGATATCCTGCCACTCCTTTAAATAATTAATAACGAATCCCCAAATATCTGTTTCCTACTCTTTGCCCTCTTCCGTTACAACAATAAGAGTGGTTTTGGGCTGCAGGCCTGTTTTGTTCCTGCTAAGGATCGTAATTCATTTTTTATGATCGAGACAACGTTTCGGGGCTCTGTTGGGAATAGGGTCTTAGGGGAATATGAAGAAGAATGAGCACATTGTGTTCCTGGCTGCTTCTTGAGTTCTCAGCATGCGCATGTGCAACTGTGTGGGGAAAATGCCTTCCACGCCTGCCCAAGCACAGCAGATGCTTAGGAGAGCCAGCGTGCCAGCAAGTCTCGTTGTGCCCCTCTTCTGCAGGGGCTGACTCTGCTGAGTGAGTCTGGAGTATTCGGTATTTTGCCGGCCTGAAACCAAGCCTTCAGAGAACCCCACTTCCCAATTTCAGCATTCGTGATTTCTCATGCTGAAAGATGCGACGGTATGCTGATCATGATTGTTAATGCTGTTTTGCCATTTGCATCATTTCCACAGTTTCATGCTCCACAAACCCACACAGTGTGCGCTGAATTGTGGTGTGTAGTCTGGGGGTCACCAAAATGGCTCCAGCAGAGTAGTCTTTATTATCCCCAAGGCGCGATTTGTTGGCCCCTCAAGGAGTGAAGGTAGTTGCTCGAACCCTTTGGCCAGACGTCGCGGTTTCGACTCCAGGCTTAGGATTCGTGAACTGGGACCGGGACTCCGTGAGTGCCACTAGCCGGGCACCTGTAAGAGGGCAGTGTGAGCCACATCTTTCCCCTCCGTGATACGACTCTGTGATTCCCGGTGCCTCGCAGAGGAAAGCCTACGCAATCCTCCTACCTCCCGCGTCGGAGGAAGGGTTCGGGTGGTAAGCTGAGTGGACCAACAGCTTTTTAAAACGGCCTGCACCGTCTTGCGGTTCAGAGACGCTCCTCACACAGACAGGGGCACGTTCTGTGGGGGTTAGCGCAACATCTAGGGTGCGGCACAAATCGCAAAACGCAACGGACTGCGTCTCCCTTTGTTTAAGGAAAAACAAAGGTATTTTCCTCTCCTCGTTTTAAGTCAGGATTTGAATGCATTCATATTTTGGCAAGAGCTGGAGGCTTCCCGCATCAATAGGACTGGCGAAAGTCGGCCCCATCATCCTCTGGGGTTCAAGCGTGGCTGTGTCGTGTGCATTCCAGCAAGACTCTTGACACCGGTCCTAACTAACGATGCTGTGCTGCTTATTTCACTGAATCAGCGCTGCCTGAGCCCTGCTCAGGGCCGCAGCCTGCTGAGGCCCCTGGCGCGGCCCCTCTCGCGCGCCCAGGGGCCGGCCCTCACCCTGCCACTGTGTCCCCCCCGCAGCGGAAGTGCAGAGCGAGATCGAGCGGATCTTCGAACTGGCGCGCACCCTGCAGCTGGTCGCCCTGGACGCTGACACCATCAACCACCCCTCCCAGCTGGCCAAGACCTCCCTGGCGCCCATCATCGTCTACATCAAGATCGCCTCCCCCAAGGTAGGTGTGCGTGTCTTAGGTATCCGTTTCACGCGCTGACCACCCAGCTTTATCTATCGATCTCAGACTGTGAGAACTATTTTAAAGCTTCTGACTTATTTTCTTAATCTTATACATTTATGGGTTTTTTTGTCATGTTGTGTCAAGCCCTTGACAAAATATAAGTTAAAGGCTGCAAAGAATTTTTGAAAGTATGTATTTGCAAATAAAATTTCCCATCTGGACAAGAAAGGAAGGAAGGGAGTCTCTGTGACATTCAGTCATGATGATGACTGACTCACAGTTTAGCTGGCACACTGAATGAGAGACTGAGATACTCCTGCACATGGAGAGTGACAACAGACCCTCTGTTGTTCATGTGCACCAAACCATCCAGGTGTTGCAGCATATGCCGCTTGTCAGCAGCACTTGTCTGGGGGTATATTTTGACAAAGCTCAGAAATCTTAGTCACTGCTTCTACATTTGAGTTGTATATTTAGCCGTGCTCGGTTGTGCTGTGCACATGTGCCCACTTTGTTTTTTTTGGCACGGCCTTCTCTGTTTCACACTGTAGATCTCCTTGCTCTCCTGTCTCAGAGATGCTTAATGAGGCTCTGGAAATATACTGTAATTTCTCTGGTGCACGTACCACACTGCATAGCATTCCTCCTGTTGTTATACATTTTTTTAAAGAAAGAAAGAGAGTTTAATTCTGCAAACGCTACAACAAATGTGTAAATTGCAAATACAAACAAAATGCTAAAATAAATGCTGGTCATGCAGGAGCTACGCTAATGTGACAAGCCCTATTACCACATTGAGAGTGATGTGAGGAGAGCAGGAGGGATGTCTTCTCTGGGGCAGCATTGTTAAACAGTGCTGTCTGGTGTACACATGGCTCTCTTGTGTACAGAGCTCACTGCTTCTGCTGAGTTCTGTTTAAGTTGAGTGTTATTTAATTTTGTTGTTGTTGCTGCTGTTCTGTGTTTACATAGGTCAATATGTCTTTGAGTTGGAGCATGCAAGCAAATAAGCATTTCATTGCACTTGTGCATGTGTAAAATAATCTGCACTGTGAACTCGTACAGTAAAGGGACCCGCCTGGACTCGCTGCTGGCTGGGAGGGACGGGTCTCCCCTCCAGGTGGCGCTGCAGGTGTGTGGGCATCTCAAAGGAGTCTGCCTGCACCTCCCCTTTGTCTCGGTGTGGGTGCTTGGTCTGTCTCTTGTGAGCTGAGTGTGGGTGTGTAGGCACAGAAGAAATAATCGGTGCTTTCTTGACTTTTAAAACCCGGTGTGGTGTTCGGTTGTTCTGTACGCTGGGGTGCAGAAGGGGGATGTGCTGTACACGTTGTGTTCAGTGGGAGTCTCCTGAAGGGACAGCTTCATGCCGGGTGTCCGTTTGCCGCCGTGCCTCAAATGGAGGACGGTGTTTAGCTCGCTGTGCTCTCACTGCAGGTGCTGCAGAGGCTCATCAAATCCCGAGGCAAATCCCAGGCCAAACACCTCAATGTGCAGATGGTGGCGGCAGACAAGCTGGCCCAGTGCCCTCCTGTAAGTACTGACCCCCTGCTTCTTTCAAGTCCCTCCTTCTGACTCGCGGTCCGTCTCCTGGCTCTCCCGTCTCAGAGGTGCTCAGAGAGGCTGACCTGGCAGCTGTCGAAAGCAGCTGTTCTGAAAATAGATTTCTTGCCATCGTGGCATTCCTGCTGTCTCGGCGCTTTGTACTCAGAAAAGAGAACTTTGAGCACCACGGAGATTATGACTCCCTCCACCACCGCCATCTATCCCCTCAGTGAAAAGACGGTTTGCCAGATTGTCGAAAATCAAAAATTCGGCGGCTGCTGAGTGGCACAGCCCGTTAACACTCTCGCTCGGAGTGAAGGCTGAGCTTTGTGGAGTGGGGGGAGCTGGGAGTACAGCCCTGGGCTTGTGTTTAGGCCTGACCAGGATTCCCCAGGAGGTGGCGTAACCATTGGCAGAGCTCTGCCAGGGGGCACCGTTCGGATTAGTCACCCTGGGCTTTCTCGGCTCCGAGCGAAACACCTTCCTGGGCGCCGGCAGGCCTTGCGGGGCTGGCAGCGAGGGAAGCACTGCTCCTCCACATGGCGCTGGGCGTCTCCCAAGGCGCCGGGGGGGCCTGCAGGGCGTCGGAAGACGAGTGACTCTGACGCGTGGGCGGGTCGCAGGAGGCTGCCTGCCTGTTCGGGAGCAACGCCAACACAAAATAAACTTAAAAAGCTAGGAAAGGGAAGGCAGAACTCACCAGAGCCCACAAAAGAAGCCTTCTGTCAATCCCATGAGTCACTTAGCAATTTTTGCTTGTCTATTTAATTGTCTCTTTTTTTGAGACATGTTTTGAAACACAGTCAGTCATGGCCTGTGGGAGCGCTGGATGCTCACCATGGCTAAACCGAATCCCTCACTCCCCCCTCCTTTCTCTAACCCCTGCTGAATGTTCCAGGAGCTCTTCGACATCATCCTGGACGAGAACCAGCTGGAAGACGCCTGCGAGCACCTGGCAGACTACCTGGAGGCGTACTGGAAGGCCACGCACCCCCCCAGCAGCAACCCCCCCCACCCCCTGCTGAACCGCACCATGGCCACCGCCGCCCTGGCCGCCTCTCCTGCCCCCGTCTCCAACCTGCAGGTACAGGTGCTGACCTCGCTGCGCCGCAACCTGGGGCTGTGGGGGGGCCAGGACGAGGCCCGGGAGGAGGAGCACGCCCTCTAGATGGGGGGGGGATGGAACAGCGGGGCTCCTGGGCTCTCCCCCCACCCCCGACCTGCAGTGAACGGGGGGAGGCGCACACGGCTCGGTATAGAGAAGAGTCGGCGCAGCTAGGGCAAGAGAAAGGACTGGGACCTCTCCACACCGAGGCTGTCGGGCCTCCATGCTCCCCACGCAGCTCTCAGGGCGAAGACGGTGGGGCTCACACACTCACACTGGCTCACACACACACTCACACTGGCTCACACTCACACTCACACTGGCACACACACGCACTCACACTGGCTCACACTCACACTCACACTGGCTCACACACACACTCACACTGGCACACACTCACACTCACACTGGCACACACTCACACACTCACACTGGCACACACTCACACACTCACACTGGCACGCACACACACTCACACACACACACACTCACACTGGTACACACACACGCACACTGGCCCACACACACACATGCACACCCATGCGTGCACATGCTCCTGAAACAGACAGCAACCTCACGTAGGATCTGCGTGCAGTCACACGGCCAAACTGACAAACCTGGCGTCATTTAGCACAATTGTCACTTCAGCCCCCTGGGATACAACTATTGATTTCTGTTGAGAAACCCGGACGTGTTTTACTCAATAATATCAGTTTTTTTTTTAGAGGTCCATAAAATTTAAAATTTTCTGTATTTTTGTTTTTAAAAAGGCCATTATGGTGTCATAGTTTTGCATAGAAATGGTTTCAAAGCAGCAAACACAATGCAAGGCTTCATTGTACTATTTCTTCTTAAATCTTACTAAAAAAAAAGTGAACATGTAGTTAAGGGAAGTAGTGTGTGCAGTAGGGAGAAAAATCTATTGCATTTGAAATTCTAAAAGCATTTCAGGGAGAACATTTAATTGCCACAGTATATATGTCAGTTATGTGGATTGAAAGAGTCATCACAGAAAAACGAAATCCAAATGAAAAAAAACTCCAGTCCTCCTGAGCTGCGTTTATGAACCTTTATTTAGTGTGATAAGAAAACATTTAAAACCGGAACTGAATACCTAGGGCTTCTTTTCACAAGTGCAATAATCCCAAGTGTAGTTACGTTTCTCGTAGCTGCCTGGCCATTTAAACAAACCGTTGCTCCACCAGAGACATGTAGACAGAACTGTGCTGCTTCCTTCCTCCGTGACACCAGACGCGCCCCCTCAAGACCACTGGGATTGTTCCTGTACTCGTGCCTGCTTGCGTTCATGCGGCTGCTGTGTTTTACAGATTGGGAAGCCCAGACTAACGAGATAATGACCTGGTTTGTTTACGTCCAGTGCTAATAAACAGGAAGCCGGCTGGTGCGTCTTATGTTCCTTTCAGCATTTCTGTCGCCACACAGCCCCGAGTGATCCAATCAAACCCCAGCCATAACCATTTCCTTAGTATCCCCCCCCCCCACCGTTGTGGAATAATGAGACAGCATCAGAACACAAAGAAAAAAACTAAACTAAAAAGAACTTTTAAACAGTGCCTGAAGCTTCTTCTTGACTTTTCACATTAAAATTGCAAGTCCATTGTTGGATTATCATACAGAAGTATAAAGTAGAATCGGATAAGTTTCTGTATGTGACCAAACTCTTAATAGATGCAAACTGCCATATGAAACAGGCAAATGGACAGACAAATGCTACATAAACTTTATTTTCACCCCACTGCCACCTGTTTTAATAATCAGTGGCCTCCAGTTTAAAATGCTGAATACACTTGTTGAAACGTTTATTTGAAGTTTACAGATAATAAATATGTATGCTGCTCAAAATATTTTTATATTCCTAAATAAAAAACAAGTATGAAAAGGGTTTCATTTGGAAAACAATTCTGAAAAAGTTGTCTAATGATATGAAGGAGATTTGGGGTTAAAACCTACCTCAAGGTAATGAAACCACCTCCCCTTTAATTTCTCACAATTCTCCTTTAATGGTGAATTCGCATTTATTAATATTTCAGTTGATTCTTTTCTGTGAGAATCTGTTTTGTGGTAATCGATGATTCATGTTTACTACATTATTTATTGATTGATTTATGTTTAACAGCATCTGCAAATACGTTTTGACTGACTTGCTAATTCAGGCAGTGTGAGTTGTTTGGTTTGAATAACATTTGGAAATGAAAGTGTCAGAAGGAGAGAATAATCTTATGTTTCTTGGTTGTGCCCTTTGATCTCCTTACAGCCTTGATTATGTCTTTGTGTTTGGGTGTTCCTTACCAGTCCTTGATTAATCCTTTTGTTTGAAATTATGCAGTGCAAAATGATATTTGCATTGTTGGGGCTGGTGTTGATTTAAGTACTGTACTAACCAGCCTAATGATAGCTGAAGGTACCTTTAGCCATGCTTCGTGCAACTGCGGAATTGTAAATTCATTTCAAGCTTTGAATGCTGAATGATCTCAATCTCCCAAATCCGTCTAAACTCTTTGTTTCTCACATCATCTAATGAAGTCTGATGTCAGGTCTGTAATTCTCACAGAGACTGAGCTCTAATTTGTTCCCATGGCCGCTTTTAAATCCATCTGCTTCTGAGTATCACACAAGAGAGGCCAAAGGGGCCCCCGTTTTCAATTAACAGGATCTTAATTTTGCATAGTGCAAGTAGCTTAATTTCCGTACAGCAGTAAGCACAGCCCAGCAGCGAGCAGGAACCCTGCTCTGTGCTGTTGGTCACCTCACACGTCAGGCAACATTTCGCTTCCTCCTTCCTCTCCAGCAGTTCCCTCCAGGTTTTGCAGATTTTTCACAATCTGAAAGCGGGTTGGCCGCGGATGTCATTGGGTTACAGTAGAGCTGGTTAAGGAAGTATCTGCCTGCTCTCCCCCACTGGCACATGAGATTAAGATGCGCTGAATTTGCTTTCAGCTCTGGAGGGCTGGGAGATGCTCGTGTGTGTTTTGGACTGAGTGTCTAACTGACTGATGTGCCTCCTCTTCAGACTAACTCACTGCCTGTGCTTGTGGCTGTTTTGTTTTCTCTCCTTGCATGGTGTGGTGTGGACATGCTCTGCCTTCCTGCTGTGGCTGGGCTAGGGACCATACCTGGTGCACGGAGAACAGAAGCGGGACGGGCCTCTGTCTGACAGAACCGGGCTTCACGACTACCAGGGCGACCCAGGGGGCAAACAGCACCACCACCAGCTGTACCTGCGCGCGTCGCGGGCGCAGTCACGGGGCGGGGGGGGCCGCGGGCTGTCGAGGCAGGACACCTTCGACTCGGAGACGCAGGGCAGCCGCGACTCGGCCTACACCGAGGCGGGGGACTCCTGCATGGACATCGAGACGGACCCGTACGAGGAGCCCGACCCGTACCGCGGCGGGGCCCGGCTGCACCTCAGCCAGCACCAGCACCGCCAGGCTTCCTGGGAAGACGAGGGCGCCGAACCTGACCAGGAGAACCTCAACCGGGCCGCCCTGCACGAGCAGCAGAACCGCGCCAAGGTCCGAGAGAGGTACTGCCAAAGCCAGGAACCCAGCGAGCCCAATCTGGGCCGCAACAAGAACCAGGAGGACTGGGGAAGAGACGTCTACATCCGCTAGTCTGGCAGACCGGCTGACAGACTGATGAGCAGAGAGCATCTCATTCTAGAGGGCAGAGGTACAAGTGGACAAGGGACGAGCTGCAGTGCTAACAAATCTAAAAGTAATTTTACTAGAGCCTAAGTGATATTCAGCTTTCTCATTCTAGAGCCCTTGCTGACTTAGAACAAAAGAACATTTTTGCCAGGCTCCTATAAAATCACATTTTGTAGCACTGTACACTACGAAAGGGTGCAGTAAGGATGAACTGGGGTGAACAAATTCGTACGAGTTGCGGGGCTTATGCCAGGGAAGGCTTAATGATCTGGCACCTGCTGGATGTAACCTCGGGCAGCTCTTCAAGATGTAGCACATGCTTTTCAAAGACACCTTGTTTTTTTTTTTTGGGGGGGGGGTTGGTTGTTTGTTCTGATGTGAGGGGGTTGGGAATTGGGGGGCAAGGTTGAGTTGATCTTGCAGGACGTTTTCTCTGCAGATTGATATTGGATACACTTAACATGGGTGTGTTTGGTAGCAATGTAAACAAAACAAAAAATCATTGATTCACGGCATCTGGCTTTCACACCTCAAAGTTTAGAATCGTCAAGAGTTTGATGAGTGTCTCTAAAGTTCACTCATCAAAAAAGTGATTTCAGACTCGAGCTCTTCGAAAACTTCATCAGTGACATTGAACAAGAAAAGGAGCATTAAGGTTTTAGAGGTTTATTTTTCACTTGGCCACGAAACTAACGTCGGCCAATATAAAGGCCCGTGGATTTCAGCTGATGGCACAAGCCGATTTCTCATTGTTTTCGGATCTTGTTCTCAATTATCTCTTTGTCGTTGGGGTGAACGTCCAAGAGAGCTGGAGCAGGTTTCGGGCTAGGACAGCGTCTGTACTCTGTGACTCAGACTCCGCTTCTATCCAGTGGCTTTTTGGGCGCCAACCCCCCCCCCACACACACACACCCCACCCCCCAAATCCTTGCCTTTCTTCGTTTTATTTTTCCATGAAGAGATTCTCTTAACCCAGCCCTTCGTCTCTGCTCGCAAGTGCAGTACTGTAAGATCCTATCTGCCTTTCCTGGCTGTTCTAGTAACCTGCCAGCAGAGGGAGTTGCAAGCTTTCTTTCTTTCGGAGTCTGTCAACTTCTGCTCAGCATCCGCAGTCACGATGCCCCTTCTCACTTGATCCTGGATTTCTGGTCCTTTGCAGCTCATCCCACGTCTCATCTAAGGCTGTCAGCTAGTTTTACTACCCCAGTATCCCCAGCTGCTCTTCAGTGGATAAGGGATACAGCCTGGGGTTAGTGCTCAGGAGAACAGAGACTTTAACTATGTCTTCTACAGTCCTGTCCAGCCCTGTTTGATTGTGATACATACCTATCTCGCCTATTCTTCTTCCTGGTTTCCGAATTCTGGTTTTGCCCAGGTGCATGTTGCCAGCTCCAAACTCCTCATCTTAGCAAGCTTCTTGCAAGACACTGGGGTGGAAAAAAACAAGCTGTTTCCCCATCTCCCAGGATCTCTGTTTTGTTCAGAGATGAATCTGTGTCTTCAGGTGACAGCCTCAACTCACCTTCTTCTGAATACCAACTTCGGGTGCCTGATTGTAGCAAGATTTTTTTTTCACGTTTGTCTTGCAGATTTTATTTAGTTTTTTTTTTTATTTAAACTAAAAAAAAAAAAGACAAACTGATCAACCTAATTTTTAAACAAAAACAACAACGAGGGACAAAAAGCAAGCCGGGTGTCTTTAAATGAAGCGGGGGAGTAGTGTGAGAATAGGAACTGCTCTTCTCAGTGCTGATTATACACAAACAACAGACATGGAGATACAGGTGCCACATCTCAGTGCCTCGGTCCCGCACCTCAGTAATGCACGGACACCAGGATGGATGGGAGAGGAGAACGGGTTTTCCCATCACGCTGGACACGCGGACACACTGCCACCGGACACTCGGACACACTGCCACACGCCCGTCTTGGGAACGAGGGAGCTGGACTCCACCTGAACACGTTCCGTGGGGATGAGGTGTCAGCCACACTGACTGCTTGACAAGGGTCGCCCAGACATCTGATTGTCTTTATTAGGATGTTAGAATTCCCTGCCTTTATGGAACTGGCATGTGTGTAAACTTTTTTTTAAAAAAAAGAACAGCAGGAAAATCAAATGTGAAAGATGCCAGAGCTGTCAGAGTGATTCTCAGAGCTGTCTAACTTAATTATCTCTTAGTGCATTGCTATATACAATAACTGGAGTCGGAATATCTGTGTTAAGCGTTTAGAAATTGATGATTTGTTTTTAAAAAGGGCCCATTTCTCTGCTAAATTAGGGTATGTTGACAGGACTTCAGCCAAAATATAGCATTTGTAGTTCGTTTTTATGCAGAAGTTCAAAAATACAGTTGACAATTGACCAAACATGCTACTGAGAATGTAAATAGGTGTCCTGCAAGCCTGGGCACTGTTGTAAAGCCTTTGAAACAGCTGGTGCACTGGTATGAGTATCCACTACAGCGCTTTGTTGCTTTGACGTGAAGTTGCGCCAACTTTTAAGTCAAAGCTATGTGCATTAACTCCACCATGGTTTACTTACAGTTTGTACAGTGATCTGGGCTAAATCAGTATTAAAGCCCAACAAACTTACCCACAGGTGTCAACAAAAATTATTCAGGACTGTAAGCAAAATTTTTCCTTACTTTCCTGTTCAGTCACATTGAAGTCTTGGAGCTGGAGAATTGTTAGCCCTCTTTAATGATGTTGTGATAGTGTGTTCTTTGTGTATGGAAGCCCAAACCTCCAGGTTCTGTTAGAAACCAAAAAGTCCGCTCGGTGGATCAGAACTGCATGATTTCTGAAATGGGCTCCGGGGTGCAGGATTTGAGGCCTTGATGCCTGCTTTCTCCAAGGCTTACTCTCACTTAACAATCTGTGAAAATCAAGCCCTTTCGACTCCATCGTCTGTCATTAGCGCTACATACCAGCACCTCAGTGGATCCCAGTGCGGATGTAGTAACTGCATTAAAGGCGTGGTCCAGGACTCTGAACTGAAACTCTAGCTTATAGGCTCACAGCAAGCTGGAGTTTTGTTTCAGTCATTATTGTGATAATTGTGGGTTAAGGCCCCTTACTGCCATGTTCTCCTAGCTTTCTTCCCCTCTGTAATGGTTTCAAAGGTGAAACCAATTCACAGACTTAATGTAGAAAAGAGGGACTAGTGATCAGTCTCACCTTTGCAAATATTTGCAAGCTTGGAATGATTTTGTCTTCAATCCTTTGCGGTACATTTGCTAAATTAGTAATCAGGATAAAAAGGCTCTGATGATGCGGGGCCCGTGTGTTTTGTATCATGTCTTACTGTTTAATGTATGCATAACGGAAGTACACAGTTTCAAGCCTATATACTGTATACAGTAAGTAAATAAGTGCCTGTTTGTGATGAGTTACTGTTAAGGGTATGGTCATGATGTTTACTTTTCATGAATCCGATTAGGAAATGACCCATTGTTAGTTAAGATGTAATTTTTCATGTTTCTTCTGAAGTGTCAACCTTACGGCATGCACGGATTTATCTGAAGTTTAGTGTTAGGCACCTGGCTGCATGTTACCTTGCTGAAGCATGGAACCTGGAAATGTCTCTGTACATAGCCCAAGGAACTAAGGTCTCTGGGTGAAACAAAATCCTGGCATGTTGGCAGAAAATTGCAAAAGAAATGGGAGTTTCAGATCTCTACCGATTTCAGATAGGTCATTTCAGATCTCTGCAATGGTGACAAACCTCCACTATCCCAAGTATTACTGTCCTCTGAATGTCTGCCCTCCTACGACAAGGGCATTTTACTGAGTCTACCAACTGAGAGAAGCTGAAATTGTTTGTCTCACTGTGTGTGTCTGAGCACGTCTGAGTACCTGCACTGGAGATCAGTCTGAGCCCACTCTGCAACAGCAGTGATGTGCAGAGGATAGTGGTCCTGAAAAGGCGAAGTAAGAAACGTTACTGCTCTACAAGGTCCTAGACGCAGGTTGCTATCATCACTCAGTCAGATGTCCGCACACCATTAGTAAGTGGCCAAGATGGCTCCAGGAGCACAGAAACATGCTCACAATAGGCCGCCGACAGGGCTTAACTCTCTGTCCATGAGGAGAGACAGAAGAGTCACAGAGGCACCTTCATCAGCCCATTGCAAAATTTTACACAACACAGCAGTTGCTGTCCATTGGAGACCTCTGTGATCAACTGCCTTTCTGAGCACACTTTCCCCTGACCAGCCCAAACACAGGCAACTTGGACCAGTTACCATACAATGTGGTTATAACGTAACAAAAGAATAAAACAGCTAAATAACCACAAATCCTTTACATGAAAACCTTTTTTAAAATCCAAGTCTTCATTAAGTCCAGAAAGTGGGGAAAATACAGTATTTAGTCCAGAATGCCTGGCATCCTTTTCTTAACCGTTCAGACTACCTGATCTAATGGTTTTTATTGACGAATTCAGTGTCTTTACCAAGACAGAGAGAGATCGAGCTGAGCTTCACTGAACTGTACTGAAACAGGATTCTTAAACTCTTTTCTAAATATGGTGCTCCTGTGTCCTAGTTTTAGTTTCGGAACGCAACCCTTTTAGAAGAATGTTTTTTATAATGCTTTTTTATAATGCTTTTGCCCTTTTTTAAAACAAGTTATATTAAAGTAAAATTACATTAGAAGCCCACATATTCTTGAACTGTCACCAGGTTTCAAGGCTGTATTTTCACAGAGGGAGGCCTTTCTCGTGATCACACTGGCTTCCTGTTGGACTGCGGACAGTGAGCAGGCTCCTGGTCCCTGCTGTTGCATCTTTCAGACGTGCTCCTGACACACTCAGAGAAACAACAAAGAAAATCACTTCTTAAGATGGTCCATCTCGAAGGAAGGCTTTGATTAGATCAGAAGGGTGTAAATTACCTGGCCTTCAAGAAGTGTATCCTTGTGTTGCTCCTGTTTCACACAGGAGAGCAGATGTGTCTGTTCTCCACTTTGACACTCTGGAACTATGAATCGTAGTGCAGATCCTGTTGGGCTGCAAGTGCAATCTGTATCGAGTGCTTCAGGCTCAGAAATGGGGGATCCTTACCGGACTGTGTCAAAGAGAGCAGGGCATAAATACAGACCACCTAGCTGCTCCTACCTCACTGCAACTCACAATAAGGCAAAGCTCACACAGCCTCCTGGACCAAATACTATAGTAAATCCATGGTGGGAATTTCTGTTTATGTGCATTAAAGCCTGGGTCATGTTTCTAGCTGACGGTGGCCTGGATTTCCCAAGCAACACCGCACGATGGGCTCAGCATCTCCTGGGGCAAGGGCTGGGACTGGTTTAGTCACAGAAACAATGACCTTTGAGCCTTCCCACGTGCC